ATGATCAGCTGCCTACTGCCCCACACCAGGGATCGAGCCCGAACCCAGGCATGTACCCTGACCGGGAATCAAACCATGACCTCTGGTTCATAGATGGATGCTCAACCACTGAGCCACGCCAGTCGTGCTTCAAATTTACTTTTAAATTTTACTGCATTTTTATTTAACGTGTGTGCATTTTTTTTGTCAGAATGTCAAAAGTTTTCATGTTGTCGTTAAGCAGAGTTCTCCAAATCTGAGAACAATATAATAGGTGTCAAGCCTTCTTACATTTTGAACAGAGATGCCAATCTTTCTATGCAGGAAATGTCAAGAGGAATTCTAACAGGATAAGCCTCCTGGCAGTTACAGAAGACAAAGAATTAAATGGAGATTGATGAGGCTGGTGGTGAAGATATCTTTGTAGAGTTGTGAAGGTACTCTGACATTTCCCCTCCTTGTGGAGAAGGGAGGATGTATTAGTTATCTATTGCAGCATAATAAATTACCCTACCATTAGGACACTTCAAACAGCAAACATCTATTATCTCATACAGTTCCTGCAGATCGGGAATGTAGGATCAGTTTGGCTGAATGGTGCTGACTCAGAGTTTCTCAAAAAGTTACAGTTGAGATGTCATTTGATTAATCAAGCTGAGGTCACATGCACGCATTCTTGCTGTAAGGCTAGAAAACAAGAAGTGAGTAACTGTCTTTTTCATTTTCTGTAAGCAGTGCTCACCACCAACAAGACACATAGTGGGGAATTCCTCAAACACAGAAAGAGAATTCAAATGATGAACAGCAGTAAGTAAAACCACAAAAATGTCAAAGAAGTCATCCTTTTAGCTGCCCAACACCAATATAACCACCGCTTTCAATGTTTATTATGTCAAAAAAAAAGTTGTCACTTAGAATATTGCAACTATCCTTCATACAATCAAAGGTGTACTCACTCTGTCACCCTCTGAGGAAGTCAATCCAATGTTTCATCAGTTACCACATCCATCCATCCATCCATTTCTAAGTTTAGAACCTCAAGGTGATATCCATTCCTCTGTAACTTGGGGACTAAATAACGAAATTTACCAACAATAGCGCACCCTACAAACGATAGTGAAGTAAAAGGTAAAGAAAGAAAATAAAAGTTAAAACATATAAAAGTATACATGATCTATAATAATAAAAGCAATAATAATATGCTAATTAGACCGGACAGCCGAAAAGACCTTCTTTCTGGACGAAGCCGGGGCTGCGAGGGCCGAGCCCCTTGCATCAGCTTCGTGCATTGGGCCTCTAGTACATTAATAAAGAAAATACAAATAGAGATGAAGCTCTCATTTCTTTCCCCGATCATGAGGATTTTACCTCCATTATGACTTCCTTGCTTTACCAGCCATTCTGTGTTCCCCTTACCTTCAACTAACACCTTCATTTCTAAGGAATCTGAGTGTCTGATTTCTAAGGAATCTGGGTGTATACCAGATTTATGTATACCAGCAAACCTATTTCCGCTTGGTTATCAGGGTTAATCACTCCCACCAATACCATAACCTTGTTCTTCTCCTTCTCTTGACTATCCAGTGACACAAGCATACAAAATAGACAGCAGACTCAGCTCCAAATCAATGGAACCACTGTTCAGCCTTTGTTTGAAGAATTCCTTTCTTTAGAATATAAATGTTCCACATTCCCTCCTGCCATGAGACCGTTCCCTCTCCTTGCCTAGTTAACTCCTCAGATCTTGACTCAAGGATCATTTCCTGTCTTATAACCATCTTTCTTCATTGAAATTAACCTCTGGCAGTTTAAAAAAAAAAACACAAAAACCTGTAAGTGGGGGGTCACTAGGTATATTTCTTTGCTCCGAAATCCATCAAATTTTGCTTATGGAACTGTAGTGGTTTTAAAAACATATTCACAAATTCTTTTGACACTTCTACCATTAAAAAGGAGTCTGCTTAGATATAACCCCCTGTAGTAAGTCCTAATAAACTAAATGTAGTTTGAAGTGATGCAGCAGAACTCCTGGTAGTTTAGAAAAGGCATTAATTACAGTGTCCACCTGAATTTCTCTTTTTTGGGATGCCTGCCCTTGGAACCCAGCTACTATGTTGTAAGGAACCTACCAGCATCTGGAAAGGCCATGAGTAGGTGTCGTGTTACAGATTCAGCATCAGTCACCAGACAGTGAAGGAGTGAGTGGTCCATTATATGATTTCAGCCCCCCAATTTTCAGCTGCCCCAACTGAATCATGGGAAAAGTAGAACACAGCTAAACTGTCCCCACTGAGCCCTGCACAAATTATAGGTTTGCAAGCAAAGTACATTTTGTAGTTGTTTTTAAACCACTAAGTTTTGGGGTGGTTAAAGAGCAATATAGGAACAGGAAGAAAGAGTGCCAAATATTGGACACTAGTTCAAAGCATACACTGCATCCTAGAAGTCACATCAAATAGGGTTACCTCCCAGAAGGCACCATAACTAAGCTTCAATAAGACCGGGTGCTTCTTGGAGACAGAATATACAATTAGACCAATGAATTCTATGGACATGAGCCCACTGTACTGCTTCTTCATTACAGAGTGAGTTTCTTGGTCAGAAGCATTATGGTGTCAGACACAACAACAGGCTAGGAAGCATTCTGTAAGTCCCCAGATGGTGGTGCTGACAGAAGTACAGCAAGCAGGGAAAGCAAATCTAAATCTACAGTAAATGTGTTCAGAGAGGACAAATAACTATTCCCTCAACGACTGGGAAGGGCCAATGGAATCAACTTGCCTCCAGGTGGTTGGCTGATCCTCCTGGAGCATGGGGTATATCACCAGCTCAGGATTGGCCACTGCTGCTGGCAACCTCAACATTCAGCAATGGCTCGGTGATCCCAAGCACAGCTCAATCCTGTCTATCATGGCCTTTTTTCCCCATAATTCCACTAAGCCTGAGAAAAGAGGCTAAGTTTCATCCACACAGGGGTTCATGTCATCCATATTGTTCTCCAGATTTATTCTGCAAGGTCCAGAATATCCCTTTCCAAGTATGCCTTATCACCAGTTCTCCAATCTTATTCTTCCCATGTCCTTGACTAACTGGCCAATTAGTCTTTGGCCATGAATTACTACCAAAGGCCATTTCTCCTTTCAGGCAACGTGAATTTTAAGACATCCCTCTGGACATTCTGTCCATTAAACGGACTTCACAACTTTAACGTTCTTCAGGTCCAAAGTGGGAACACCACCACCTAACAGTCCATTTCTGGCAGGGATGAGCATATTGTCCTGAGGAACTTGGTGCCTGGCACAGCATGGGTAGCCAATAGGTATTTTTTAAATAATCTTTTAAAATGCAGATTATGTCCCTTCCCTGCTTAAAGCCAATAGCTTCCCACTGACATTAAAGATCCTGCAAGGCATGGCCTCTGTATGCACTCCTTCCTCTTCTTCTCTGTACTCTAAACCTTGGCCCCTAATTTCTGGAATGTTCCAAGCGCCCTCCTGCCACAAGATCTTTGCTCAGACTGTCCCCTCTCCTTGCCTAGTTAACGCCATCCTCAGATCTTGACTCAAGGATCACTTCCTGTATTATAACCACCTTTCTTCACTGTAATTATCTCCCTATTCATTTATATGTTTAATTCCTGTCTTACCCAGGACCCTAAATTCTATGACTATGTGCACTTAACACTGACTCCCTGCACCTAATATAGTGCCTGATACTTAATAGGTGCTAAATAATATTTGAATAAACAAATAAATGTGTAATAAAATGCAGTACAGGTAATTTACCTACAAGTTATCACTGCCAGTTTTGCTTAAGATGCTTCCTGCCATTCCTTTCTACTCTTCTAACTTGCATTTCTTTATTAATTTAAAAAGGCATTTGTTTAGACAAGAACTTTCCTAAGCATTCTATCTATCCTAGCACTATGCAAAAAAAGTGAATACATATGAAGCTTTAAATATACTAATAGCCACATTATAAAAAGTTATTTTATTTTATTTAACCCAATATATTCAAAACATTATCATTTCCACATGTAACTAGTATGAAAATTATTGAGATACTTTGCATCCCTTTGTTTGTACTAAGTTTCTTCTATTCGGTGGGCACTGAGTTACACATCTCCACGCGAGCGGGCCATGCATGTTTCAAGGGCGCCCTGGCCACACACGCCGAGTGGGGGCTGCGTGGGGCGCCGAGGGGAGGCTGCACGGGGCGCCGTGGTCCCAAAGGAGCCACTTTCCCCGAGTCCGCGTGTCCTCAGCACCTGGACGTGTCGGGGAGACTCCTCGGCCAACCTTCACCCACAAGGGCCGCTCGGGACGAGATATGATTCACGCCCGGGTCTGGAGTGAGCCCCACGCCTTCAGCATCTGCCACTTCAGAGGTTGTCCCGGAGAACTCTTTTAACCAGTGTGCATTTTTCACTTCCTACCCAGCCTTTCCCCCCCGTATTTAAACAGATCCTTGGCTCCCCCCGAAGACGGGGGCCACCTCCTTTGCAGTCTCCTCCTTTGAAGCCAGTTTGTGGGGTGTCAGGGCACATCTGTGGGTTCCCGTGGCTGCCTAGGGAAATCTGGGGGGAGGGTTTCTGTGCTTCTGTGCAAGCCGCCCATGTCCGGCGTGATGGGTTCTTTCGGCGCTTCCCCGAGGCCGGCCTGGGCCTCCGGCGACGGCGCTGGGGAGAGAGCAAGCCGGGGCAGAGGCTCACGGAGCCGGACTGGATTGCTCCCTCGGCTCGGAAACGAGCTCTCGCCAGCATCACACTCACGCGACAGCTTGGCGGTACTTCTGCCTCCGCACGGGGCCACAGGCCGCGGCCACACACAGCGCCGGCGGGACGCACCGGCCGCCCGACTCTCCCCCCGCACGGCGGCCCTCGGCCGAAGGGGAAGAGGCGCGACTCCGCCTGGAC